ATGGCACAGGCTCAGTAAGAATTCAAGTTTTCAAAAGAGGAGGAATTGATAGGGGTAAAAACAGCAATAAATTTCTAATATCTGAAAGAAACGTAGACATGTAATTTTTTTTTCCCTGCACTATTTCATATTTCTTCAGAACAAGTTAGGCTAAATAAATCACAGTAAAAATATCCAAAGCAATTTGTTACCTTAAAATAAGTTTGGCAGTTATTGCAATAGACAGTGTTTTATTGCAGATTTCAAATCACCATGAATGACACCACATACATCATCACCCAGGAGATGATGGTCTAAATGGGACTGCTATGTCAAAATCTAAACTGTCTCTTGTCTTCGCGCCCAGGCTGATCTAAGCTTTTAAATTGTTCACTAGCTTAATTCAGCATATAAACAAAAGCAGAGGACTTCTCCCTCTGCAGTGGTCTAAAATTTATTCATTCAGTTTAACACACTGAAGGCTTAGACTATTCTGTCATATCTCATAAAATGTCCCCAGACAGTCTGGATATGGCCTTCCAAACCTACATTTGTGGGAAGTTTACTGACCCCAAGAATAACATTTATCTTTGATATATTAACAATAACCAAATGCTTATACAATCCTCTTACTGATATTAGACAGATTTTGAGTTGATTAAGTGAAAGATTAATTTGCTTCAGAAAGTGCATGCAGCAATCTTGAAACATGAAACTATTCATAACTTAGCCCCCATGTTCTACGCTGAGTTATTAACCACTCCAGCTCCAGCAAAGTGGAATTCTATGTACCACAAACAGAGCATTTCTCAAACTTTTGCTTAAAATTAAAATAACACATTCTTCTGCAATCAACCAATTTTGCCACACTTTTTAATACAAAGATACCATTTGCTCTTATTTACATGGAAAGAAGCACTGGATGGCAAGACGAATCCCTCCAACACAAAAGCCATAGCTACATTACCACAGCTCACTCACACCTGTGCCACTTACTGTTTTTTTAGATTAAAATAATTTGAATTATTTGTTTCTCATCTTGGTTATTTTCTATGGTCCCAGGTATTGCAGTATCACTACATTTCACAGCCTTCAACCCTGTATCATCTCTTTGAGACAGAGAAATGCTTCCACTTTTTCAAGAGGGGAGACTTTGATATAGATAAGCAGTTTGTTTGTCCAACAGCTGTCACTGAAATTATACAACATAATTTCTTCTTCCCAAATCCCACAGTAGCATACTTAAGACTAAATACCCTTTTTCTCAGGCCTTGATCCACAACACCCTTCATTCACTGGAATGGTTTTATGGTAAGCTCTCCACAGCTCTGTTCTCTCAAAACCAGAGGCTGGATCTTACTGTATGTTCAGTTTTGTCCATAAACAAGTTTGAAGATTTGTTCATACCAAAAATATACTAAGGGTCTAAGCCTTAGTGCCTAAATACTGAAAGAGAACTTCAGACACTGTAACAGAATTAAATCCACAGAACATACAGTCCCAGAGCTGACCAGTGACTCACACTGCCACCTGCACATGACACAACAAGGGGAAACTCAGAAAACTCTGGGAAAAAGAAAAAAATGTTCATCAATAAGAATGATTCCAGTTCCTTAACTGTTGTCACAAGCTGGGATTAAAAAAAAAAAAAAAAGTTATGTACATGCCCAAATATTTCTAAGAAAAATGGAGTAGAAATTCCTTGTTCCACACAGTCATCATATAGGGAGCAAAATCCCACTGAAAAGTGGTCATGGAGAAAACAAGGGGTTTTTTCCTCTGAGTGAGGAATGGAGAAGTCTTGAGTTCTTACAAGAACAAGCTTGCCTTTCTTTTGCTAAATGCAGAGAAAACCTAAGGTAGAAATGGTTTATTTAAAGTATTAAGATTTTGTGACCTGTTTGGCTCCCATAGGTGCATTTCTTGTTAGAGAAAACTTACAGATTTAAAATAAAAACTTATGACCTGATAGCATATGGATCACTTAGCACTTCTAAAAGATTTAAGTTTTATATATTTTAGGGAAAACTGCTTCTGTAATAAACATTCCTGTGTTTTGAAATCTACAATACACCATTTTTTCTTCCATCTCTACATAGGTACAATAGGCAGAGTAGTCTGAGAAACAGTTCTGCCTGGAAACACTAACCTAAGTTAACTTCAGAAGAAAGTCGAGTAGCAACTCACTATATATAGGCCTCCATTAGCCCGCCAGACTAACAATGTTGGCTGTCTTCCAGATAAGCACTTTCACTCTCTTAGACCCATAGGGAGCACTGCAATTGCAAGCAAGCAGGGAGTAAAGGGAGGAGCAGAAAATAGGAATAATGCAGGGGGGGAAAAAAAAGCAAGAATTTTAGGTAGTACAGCAGTACTTCATTTTTAATGGAAACAAAGTTGCTTACTTTCATTTGAGCATTAACATTTTCCCCTCTCATTTGTGTTTTAACTCAGCTAGCTGAGAAGTCCAGCTGCTCTGTGCACAGATTAAACCTCAATGGTGTCTCATTAAAATGTATGCCACCAATCACATTTGACTTACGTATATGAAAAATAAAAGTTACTGTCAGCTGAGCTGAAGGACTGTATGCAGAGCAGTGTTCCTTCAGGGCATGCAGCTGACTAAAGTTATTGGGGCCTCAGGCACCAAAAAGACTGAGCTGCTTAAAAGAGAAAACACTAGTAAGCAAACTGTCTTACTTCCTTTCCACCTCCTTGTTCTTTCCCCTTTGGTAGTTTAATTGGGAGGGCTGGCACTTCAAAAGAGCCATCTTCTCTTGCACTTACTTGTCTTCCTGCAGTTGACAGAACTGGACTGGTGGCTATAGCAGAGATTGGATGAAAGAAGATGCTCTACTTCTCAGAAGTAAAAACCTGGGGGAGGTTTCTTCAGAGAAACCCAGATTCTGCAGAACAGCAGATAATCTTGCTCCATAAAGGTATCTAGGGCTCAGAAACTGAAGCAACTACAGAAGTGACCAGCAGGGAAGAACCTGCCAGAGGTCTGGGTGACAGATCATGAAAGCTCATGTCACTAATTCTTTCCTATCAGCCGCAGGGAAAACATTTGTAAGATCTACCTGCAATGAACAGCAAGGTTAAAACCTGTCAAAAAAAAAAAGTAGAAGCCAAAGGCAAGCAAAATGGACAACTGAACCTACAGGAGGAAGCTGACAATTTCAAGGCTGGAGTCACTACTGTCCTAGAAACCAGTCTGCCAAAGAAAGGAGAAACAGATTGTGTGTTACAACATCTTTGGGTGGCTGCACTAGAAGGAAACTGAGGCAGAGACAAACACCAAACAAAGGAAAGACTGCTTAGAGGCAGTTCCTGTACTATAGCCCTTTCTGTACTGCATCTCATCTCTCTGCCCTCTCTCTTTCCCCTTGTAACATCCTAGAATTAACTTAAGCACTATTTTACTCACTTGGATATAAACATATTTAAACAGTTTTTTACTTAAAATATCATTTTCAATGACTGGGCAAAGAATACACAGTCATTTCACTTGCTTCTGTGTACAAGTCAAAACACTTTAAATTCCTGTCCAGTTTATATTCTCATTTCCTCTCCGTCCACTCTGATGTGTTCTGTCCCACTCTTGAGGCCACTTGGGGGTATCTGAATTAGCTATAGCTAAAGCTAAATAACTTCTGATTTGGGAAGTCAACGCCAGTAATGTCTTGCCTGTCTAGCTTGCTCCTAGCCAGGAGGTTTGCCAAGACAAGAAAGCTGGAGCACTGCAGCATCATCAGCAGTTTCATACCAAGCCAAAACTGTAGTGTTCAGTAAATACCATTCTCTTACTGAATCGTTTCCAGACAGCATTGAGGGATTTGACCATTTCCACAGCATGTTGAATAACACCACCCTAACTCTTCAACAAAGGCTAGCAACACTTAATATATATTTCTGGCATTTTCCCAGCTGGATACAGGGTACAAAAAAAAGGCCCATCCTTCTGCATTCTGGCTCAGAAGTTTACTGCAACATGTAAGTTTAATACTGAATAACTTTCTAATATTAGCACTAGTCAACAAGTTCTACAGGTTGTTAGAGTCATCCAGTATTCAGAGAATAAAAGTATGGCAGCATTTAGAAATAAACTACACTATTAAAAATCAAACTTTGTTTTATGACTATTAAGGAGCTAAATTTTTTTAAAACTGACTTTAAAATTACCAGAGGTAAATATCATTCCAGTTGAGCCTACCCTCTTCTCTCAACCTGGGGCTCTTTTTAATACTATTCTAGTTCATTCTCCATGTGCAGCTTCTGACCTTGTATTGCTCCTTTCATCCATTGAAAGCTCCATTGCTTTAATAGTGCTGTGGGTAGCTAGGTTGAAATATAGCTGCATTTAAATTCAACTTGGTGCTAAACCAGTTTCTGTGTTCTATTAAGAGTAACGAATAGTTGTCAAGAGATCCTACCTTCCTTTTATCTTTTGTATGAAGTCGTATTTTTGTCTTCTTTCAGCTTAATAAAGTACTAATTACAGTTATGAAATATAAACATTTTCTTAAAAGCTTAGGTTCTTCCCTAACTAGTTTGAAAAAAACCCCAAAACTAAACCAAAAAACTCACAAGAGAGTGCAATCTCAGTTCTTTAATCCAGAATAAAAATTAAATATGGAAGTATTTCCCCTAACTCCTCCCTGATTAACACCATCAAGAGGTGTCTGAGCTATGAGTAGGTTTTTGTGTGCCATGATGAGTTGGGGGACATGGATTAGCCTGCAGGTGCACATGTACAGCAGATCAACTAATGCACTGATTTGAAGTGAACAAGTCAGTCACCTTGAGGGTCTTCATCTATAAAAGAACTTCCTGGAGATGTGTAAACAGTTGCTCCTTCTAACCTTCATGACCAATTTTTCATTTACAAAACATCAGATGCGTCATGCAAGCTGGCAATTGCATACAGAAACATAAGTTCTCCCAAACAGCACATTATCATTTTTATTTCTCTTACACGCAAGCATTCCCCAAATGCCCATTCAGTTCTATTTTCTACTTACAATGAAATGAGTGATTTCAAGCCTCTGAATGCATCAGGTGCAATGTCAGTTATTTGATTCTTGCTGATGTCTCTGAAAAGATAAGGGAGAATTAAAAAAATATTTGTAAACAGGAATCTGATGAAAATATTTTAGCTGTAGTTTATTGGAAGAATGTACTTGACACAAAACCAGAACTAAAAGATCATATTACCTCAGAGAAATTATGAACTATGTGAGGACACAGATAGGCAAATTCCAGGAATGATCAGAAAACAAGAGTCAGTACGACCGACCATAGCCTCAACAAATCGGCAGCTCCCCTTTTAATAAGGTTAATAATTTTCTGGACACTGCAGTAAAGAGTTTTATGAAGATCTTTGAAGAACAACAGTGAGGTAGCCCACTGAATGAAAGCGGTTGATAAAACCATCTTAAAAAGTATTAACAACAGAGATCGCATTGTGAATCTGTGGGGTGGCCCTCAAGCATGAGGAGCAGCCTGTGACAAAGCATAAAGGTTGTCTGAATGTTTAAACGAAGGCATGGAAGGCTAACTTTATAACAGTGTAGAAGATCATATTTTGATTATAAGTGAAATGATATATAAGGTGAGGAGAGGTTCTGAGGTAGCTGGAAAGTGCTGCCAGGATATACATTAAGGAAGATGGTGGGATTAATGATGTCAGCATGGTGTAGGCACCAGGGGAATGGCTTCTGAGGCAGCAAGATTGTGTTTGTCTAAGAGAAGAAAGCTTGTGGTAAATGAGATATAAAGACAAACATATTTATAAATAACAGAAACATGTGCTATAGTCAAATAAAATTCCCATCAAAAGCCTAGGAAATTCCACTGAGTGTTAGTCTCGATTTATATGAAACAATATCAATAATTCTTAGGATGATAAAAATCTCCTGAGGTAAGACTTTTCCCACACCATCTCTGTTTAATACCAATGGGAAAGGGGATGGAAAACATACTCCCCAGGCCCCGATCCCAAAGCAGGCCCCAGTGTCACCAAGCAGATGTTTGGCTTTTAATGGCCTAGAGAAAGCAAGCAGCACAAAATTCTACCATGACCTTGATCTGGTGAGGCAGGTGAGAAGAGGGTCAACACAGCACTGGGAGCTCTGCCCAGAGTTTTCAGACACTCGGGAAAGCCTTCGAGCACCTGAATGGAAATCATGGACCTTTGAAGCCAGCAGCACTGCAGGGAACAACCAGCATGTTGCAGACCCTGTCAGGGAGCCCCAGCAAGATTCTCCCTTTCAGCTGTGATGAGTGGAATTCAGTTACAGCCTGCTGTCATTTTCAAGGTAAAGTGTGTTCCTGGTTTGGAAAATACCCTTCAATTTCAATCATAACCAACCAAGTACACAAAGATAAATATAGACTATGTCACAATTTCTTCATACATGGAGCCAAATTTACTACACTTAGGACCCAGATGCTCAGAACTGTGTGCCTTATCATGGGCGTCACTGCAATCCAATCTTTCTGTCAATCAGTTCAACCAGGTGCTTAGCTACAGGCATAACTTTCAGCCACCTTGTAGCATTCACTGACAGTTAGTACAGCTTGTATCAGTAGTATCAAATCTTTTCACGGATAGCTGAAGCAATACAGTATTTCATGTACATCTTCACAGTTATTTCCACTGGGGCACATGCTAAGGATCTCAGTCAGACTCTAAATAAACATCACTTGAGCAAGAACTTAGGAATCAGAAAGTAAGAAGGCTTTCCATTCTATACATGTTTCAAGTTACAAATTCTGTTGATTAAAATTTTAATGAAGTCCTCTAACTGTTTTAAAATCTAGTCACATAAAGTAGGATTTTCTCTGGTTCTTTTATAAGGCTCATTAAACAACTTCTCCGCAATCTACTGATGTTTCCTATTACAATATCCTGCCTACAAGGACAGCATTCTGTGAAGGTTTCCAGTTCTTCAGCTCAACTCAGAGCAGCCAAATTTGTGACAGTGAAAGTAGGAATATTTATTTTTATACAGGTTTTTGTGAAACTTATTTAGACTGCCTGGTAGCATTTGGTGCTTTCTATCTAGTAATTCTTATGTAAGCAGAAGTCTGTTGTGAATCTGTGCTATTTATTGAGGAACATATGACAGTGACATGAAATCAGGAGTTTCCTGAACAATGGCAAGCATCTGAAAAGGGGCATTTAGTTTTTGAAACAAGTATTTCAGCACTGTTTTATTGATTTGCTACATTTCAACATTTCCATCCATTCTCTCTCCCCACGTCCGGATGCTAATGAGTGTATAACTAATGGTGTCTGAACGTGCATAAATGCCTTGCTGGGTGATGACACTCACTCACTTCATGCAGATGCACTACAATCAGCAGTAGAAGATAATTAGACACATTATTTCCTTCCCATTAGAGTCCAAGCTCCACTGCTGTTGGATAAGGAGGCTCCATCTCCTTCTGACTTGACTGAGGCAAAGTGATTCAATTATGTCCTTGTACTTTTGTTCCCTTCCTTAGGTCTGCGCTTTGGCAAGATCATCCTATTCTGTGCTTCTGTTTTTCTAACCTGCACAACTAAGGCAATTTAGATCACATAAGGCTCATTTTCATAGTTTAGGGTATCTCTGAATCACTCAGTGGAAATGTGGCTCTTTAGCTGGAAATGTAATAAACTTATCAGGATTCCCACCCAGGCAGGGAATACATTAGTCACCTCACACTGGTCTCCCTGCACCTCTGACAGCACGGCAGAGATGTTCTTTCAAAAGGTGGCTGGACACACCTTGGAGGGTGGCTGTGATCCATTACCAGTTAGGGTTATAAATTGGTTTTGACTTTGCACCAGACGAGCAAGGATACCCTGTGAGTCACTGTATAACATATGACAGTATGGCTTAAATGTCTTTACTGTAAAAGGTTTTGAAACAAAGCAGATTTATTTTTAGATGCGGCCAAATGTTATTAATAGCATTGGATGAACATTCTCTTTGTCAACTAACATTATTAGAAACAGATTACTTGATTATCTGTAACATGTAAAATGGACTGCTCTCATTTGACAAGAGTACTCAGCAAAAATCCATGTCATATATGGTTTAGTTTTTAGAAGCTGCCTAACAAAAGTAGCAATGCCACAGAGCTACTGGGAAGACTGTGAAGTCTCAATGTGTTTTCTGCTAATATATGATAAAATTAATTTGACAACATGAAATGCCACTACAAGCATCAGAGCTAGTGAGGTACAACCCCGTCTTTCAAAATGGCTCAGTGTGTTTGGCTCTTAGTCCTGTGCTACAAACTTGTTAGTTAAAACCTCTGAAAAACAAAGACAAAATGGGAAGCAATGCCATGAACTTTGAAACTTGTAGGCTAGAAGTTAAAGAACTATGGTACAAGCACAACTGCTACTTGAATGAATTGAATATGGCACGTCTGGGAGTGGATACTTCATGCAATAATGACAACATCTATCTCTGGAGGTGAGATGTATCTCCTTCAAGCCCCTCAAACCTCTTCTGAAGCCCATGAATAACTGAGCACAGCTAGGACCTATTACATTCACCCCAAGATCAGGGGAATCGTCATCCCAGATTATATATCTCAATTGCGCATTTGAATTCTACAGGTGCCAAATCTTCCTTCTGAGACAGACACATTCAGCTTCATGTAATTAATTGTGTGAGAAGATTGGGCAATTATGATGAAATCCAAGACACAAAAGATTTCAGCTCCTTTCCTAAAACTCATTCACTAAAATAACTCTCCCATCCTGGAAGCTATTGAAGGGACATTCTAAACAGCAAACTTCAGCTAGATGCAAATATAACACTTGAATTAATATACATACATCTTCAACTATCATCTTGACCTATTAATATCAAGTTATATGAAGATTATCTTGGACAACTGTCACTTGCCTAAAAATTAATCTCAGTTATCCAATTATTTAAGAAAAGGAAACTGTATAATCTTGCAGGAAATACTCAGTAAACAATCAAAATACTGAGACTGCTGCAAGTGAGCAGTCTATTACCCCCAACATTCTTGCATATTTGCTCAACAGAAGGAGAAAAATACAATACAATTCACAATGTTATGCTAATGCTAGACCCTGAATTATAGAAAATATTATTATAAATAATATTTAATAACAATAACAATAATAAGTCTTTATTTGTACCCTGGGTAGGGCATCAAATAATTAAATCAATAATCTTCATGTTATTGCACTGCTCATTGAAATCTAAGTGACAGGAATTAAGAAAGGCTGATGACTTCAGTGATATTGAACATGTCCTTCCTCTATAAGGAAAAGGATGGATAATTCTCTTGTTTTAAGAGGTAGTCTTTGGACCAAAGTGTATTTTTGTGTTAACACTACTGGGAACCTTGCATACTGAAAACATGATGTCAATAATCTCTGCAAATATTGGAACAAATATTCTCAGTTAAAATTTATGTATCAACAGTGATGCCCATTTTAGAGCCTTACTTTCCATCAGGAATAAAATGGTAACAAGGAGAAAGATCAATAACCAAGTGGCAAAACATCATGTTTGTTATGGGACATTCTGCAGCCTAACTATCTATTCCAAGTTCTTCCACAAAATGCTGTCACGATAACTAAGCTTTGATACAGATCATCTGGCAAAATAACTTATTATTTAACGATGAGTTCAGATCTCAATGAGTATGCCAATTATACTCTAGAAAGCTGTTAACACAACTTGCTAATGGAATTCTGCTGTGAAATTCTAACATTAATCATTTCACATAGTAAGTGCTACATTGGGTTGAGCAGCTAGTCAAGTTAAAGAACGTTTTTTTGGTCGACTCCCATAAAACTAGAGTTCACCGATCATGAAAAATGAAAGGACAGTAAAACACTGCCAAAATCTAAAATTAGTCATACCTCAGAAAGAATTAAGTAGCAACTTTAATAATGAAAAAGTTACAAGTTAGGTCACTGAAAAGGGATCCATCAATTTTCACTGAAATTACCGTCTTGCTATCTAATACGGTACTTCTTTAAAAATACATACAGCTATATTGAAAGTGGGACAGAAGAACAGAGACTCTGTAAGATGGATGATTTGACCTGCTAAATATTAAGATCCATATTTACAGCTCTTCAGTTCTAGGAACTTGGTAAGCTTGGACTGGCAAACACAGTAATTTTACATTTAAATCCAAAGGTAGAGCACAAGCTCATTTCAGTTCCCAAAGCATTCGCTACCTGATAATCCAGTGTCTTTTGTGAAATAAGCTGACAGCTTCTTAGTTCCAGTAAGTATTGCTCACATCAGAAAACAAAAACTGTAAAGGCACTTTTTTAGCAGTTTTAGCACTGAGCTACAAAAGCCTGAATGACTTCGGCAAGTTACTGGTCCAGTAAAACCCATCAACATATTGATACTACGGTGAAGCAGGAGTAAATCATTTTATCATTGTACTGCTGTCACAACATCTCTCATATATCCCTTAAAAATGAAAAGAAAGATTGATCTGGGTATGCCCAGGTTATCTGCATAAGAGTGCAAATCAGGATTATTTTTTTTTAAATCCAAAGAGAAAACATGGGAACTAATAAGAAAGTAATTCTCTGGCTATCCACTGGTGATTAAAAAACAGAGAAAACAAACTCCAGCAGGTTTCTTTGTTTTCTTGAAAACAGTCAAACCATTTCAACATCAGGATACTGAATGCACTACAAAAATTCCTAACTACTCTGCAAGAACACGCACTCCTGCTATAACTGGGATCGATTAAATAGAAGTGGTGCAAACAGATATCAGAATGAAAGAGAAAAAAAATAGAACCTAAAATCTCTTCTGAGGAAGCAGATTTGAAGTTTGAACAGACTAACAACTAATTAGCTCACATCATTTATAACAGGAAGTGAAATAAAGCATTATTAAGGATTTCATGCACTGTTAGGCATCTTGAACCAAATTCCACCTTTGCTTACACTTTGAAGAGATTATTTGTGCAATCCCCAGTGATTTCAATATAGAAATTGCCAATATGTTTCTGAAATAAAGATACTGAACTTGAAGCTAGAAGATTCATGATTGCTTTTGCATGTTGGTCTTATTAAAACTTACATTCTCTTAAGCTTCTTGTACTGGGTAAAAGCTCCAGGGGGAATGATTTTGATGAGGTTTTGTTCCAAACGTCTAAAAACAAACAAAGTAATATACATGTTAACTACACAATTACAGGGCAGGAATAACATTAAACATGACAGAAAATTTTTATATAAATATAAACCAATTTTATAGAGTTTTAACGCAAAACAGATTTTTCTTTTGAAAGCCAATAAATGGAGAAATACTGAAAAAATAACTTAGAAAATAAAATAGCCTCATTGATTATACTAAATCTGTATAGAAAAAAAAGGAAAATGCTATCAAAATTGCACCTTTAAAACTCATGGAATCAATAAAAAACAGTAGCCATATTTTATTACTACTTAATCAAAGTTAAGGTGGAAAAGACAGATGCTTTTCGTGACTAGCTGTTGTAAACGGAACATAGCTATCCAAACTAAAAGCCATGCTATGTTGTGACAGCTTAATGAGCAGATTAATAATACTATCAGAGCGTCTCAGGAACAACAATCTGTGGGAGCACGTTGAAAAACAAAGTGGAACTCACTGTGATATGAATCCAGAGTTTTAAGGAGTCGGGGGGAGAGTCTATATTAAAGCAGAGCAAAAAAGGACTGTATCTTCCTATTTTAACTACCAAATACTGAAGGTGTTCTAAAATATGGTCCAGACTACATGATAATGCTGTTGTTTTCATTTCTAAGATTCGGTTTGAAAGAAGTATTTTTTATGATGTATCATAAATGCATGTATCACTAACATAAAATGTAAACAGCTTTAAGACACTGCATACAGTAACCACTAAGATTAATTTCTGTTCCTTCCCGCAAGTATCTTCAAGTCTTTGTCAGCAAGTTCCCCAAATTCCTGCTGAAAGGACTGTCTTCTCAGATGAACCCTAAATATTCATCTCAATTAGGAATGTAAAGGGCAATCCCCATACAACAAATTCAAATGACCATGGCTGCTAAAATTCTACAGAGTTGGAACTGAAAACGAAATTTGCTTTTACCTAGCTCTTATTTATTATTCAAACATTGTGCATTTTTTTCTCAAAAAATGTCATAAAAAGAAACAGTTCCAGTAGCAAAAATCTGTGGTTGGAAATGGTTTAGAATGGAAATACAAAAACAGACGGGAATGATGGAATGAATCACTCTAGTCATTTAGAGCTGCTGCAGCAATGAAGAGGGGAGAAAAAATTTTAAGACCAGGAACGGAGATAAAATGAGATGCAGGGAGAAGTAAATCATGTTTTTTAAAGGATTTGGGAATAACACAGAGATAACGTGGAAGGTCCATCAGCCCTCTATTGCACAGTATATCTTTCTGTTGATCCATGCTTTCAGCAGACAAAAGAAAAATCCCCTTGAAAATAAGATATTTTGTCAGCTCAGTTATACTCTAAGAAGCTATTTAAGTCATGAGCATTGGGATACTTGCACAGTCTACTTGTACAGTCCATGTGCATGCACTCTTATTTCTGTAGCAGTCTATTTTAAAGGTTGTGATCTGAGTTAATTCTATTCCTTTTTTGTGACTTGAGTTAGCATCTGAGGTTTCCCTTCCAGTTGATCTAAATATAACGTGCTTCATTTCTGGCAAGTCCACAGTGAAATGCAAATTGCTGTAAGCTTCAGCACACTACTATTGTTGGGTGTTTGTCACCAGAATTAGCAGCAGACATACTCTTCCCATAAAGGCTTTTTGTCAGCTTGCCTGCTTGGTGTTTAACTCCTCCCAAGTATGTCTATATAGACACTTCTAGGAACAAAAGAGGGCCATGCCTGTCCAATTCCCTCGCCTTATGGATGGAAATTAGGGGTTCACCCATGCTGCACATAGGAGCAGTACAGCAGTCCTTTCCTTACAGGGAAACTCAAATATAGCGATGGGGGGAAACATGGCCCCTTTTTATAATCACTTAGATTTCCAAGGAAATTTTATTGACCCAAGGATGGAAATATACCCAGAAATTTTGCCCCCAAAGGCAAAAAAAAGCCAAAATTTGAATATCCACAGACCTCAAGTAATAAGAAAAGATAAGATTTCTACAAAAGGTGTAGAGGAATACAGAAAAAGAGTTCTTTCAGAGAGCCAACTTCTGAAGCAGTACGGAATTCTTCACCTTCTCCTACAAAATTTGCAGCAGATGGCCTCTACAGAAATAGATGGTCAAGGCTGTTGTCACCTGCTGCTATATTTTCACCTTAGTATCTTACATTTTTTACTGAATTGAGTTCTTTGTAAATGAAGGACTAAAGACTACACATAACACATCATGTTTAGTGCACTACGTTTTGCAGATGTGACCAGAGAAGCAACAAGCAGTGCATGTTTGCAGGCAGATTCCAACTTGGGCACAAAATGCAGATGATCTTGGAGCATTAAAAAAGTGCAGCAGTAAATAAACATGTATTTTAAAAGCATGAAGTACTAATCGGACTTCCATTCATTTTTTTCATAAATGGATGTCATAGATTGGCAGGCATTAGGCTGAAAACCACGATGCAGTTACACATCTAAAATAGTAGAAAACATAGTATTTGTATTAATACTTTGTGCTTTCACCTCATCTGAGGTCATAAATGACATGTAAAGGACAGTACAGGATTAAAAATCTCTAGGAGACATTAGGTTTTGCCAGAAGGGGTGTTGGCAATTTCAAGGTGATGAAGGCTTAATTATAAACCAGTGTTATTCATGATATAATGGAAAACTGCTGCTAGAGGTGCCATCTTTCAAATAAAGTGAGAAACACAGTTCTTGCCTAGCGTTGTCATTTTTTTTCTCCAAAAATTGAAAAGCTAATCTAAATTTTACAGCCACATTTTGTTTCAGAGAAAATTGCCTAGTTTACCTAGAACATGACCTCTGGAAAACTGGTCTATCCCTGCATACTATGAAGTGCTGTTATATACTATAAAACCACCTGTGCAAGTGCAAAGCAACATCTGTGAGTTAATTTTTTTTTTTTGTATCACCAGAATATACTATAAAATAATTTTACAACACATTTGAGAACTCTGTACATGAGACACAGTCTTAAAAGTCTAAATTTTGATAACTTGGACTACTATCCCCTATGTCTAAGATTTCTTACAACTCAATAAAATTTTCCTTGATTTTCCTCTGGTATTTCATAATAAGATCTATTTAAAAGACTCCGCCAGTAGAATTCACAAAATTGATAAAACAAATTGGCCATGTTCAAACCTCTCAGGGCCTTTTGTTCCTCCTTTCAGTTACCCATTTCACCGTGCCATGTCGCCTGCTGGCAGCTGTTTCGCTTAAATGAATTGAAGCAGATCTCCCCACTTTTGACTCCCAGCAATGCTCTGTCTGCCTCTTGAAGCTTTATTTTAGAGTCTTTGACAACAACATCAAAGGACAAGAACAATTTCCTGTCTCTTCTCTAATATATTATCAGAGATTGGAAAGTATGAGAGCCCAATGGATTCAGATGTATTTTTCTTGTAATAACATGATGTTAGACAGGATAAAGTCATTCCCACTCTCTTTAAACAACTTCACATCAATGGAAGCGAAAAGTAAACATATTGGAGGAAACAAACAAACAAACAAACAACAGGGGGAATCTATGCAGTTAAATATGAAAAATTATCCCAAGATAAAGAATAAGCACTCCAATTCCCATGCTAATCCATCTCAAAGTTCACTGAGGTGCAAATCTTTTCATCGTCTCCTCATCTGGTGCCTGTACTGCTCCCACCAAGGATGGCAAAACACAAAGGATAAAAAACTCGGCCTAATGCAGCCTTCCTAGACCCAGCTCACACTCTCAAGGGTGACGAAGTCATTTGTCTTGAAGGGTGATTCCCCCTGCAGAGTGGGGGAGACGGATGTATTAATTTGGGCCTTAACTATCTCTCTTTCATTGAGGGAAAGAAAGAATTTGTTATTTGGGTCTCTAATAGAGCAGTTTGCTAGCAATTTTCTCATTTCAAACACCGTCTCAGCTGCTAATGTGTAATGTTTTGTCAAGCTTACCTAGCCATAACATAGACAAATCGCTAGCTTGGAGAAAAAGAGAGAGGGAGTGAAGCATCAGTACTGATAATTCTTAGCTGTCAGATGAATAGAGCCTACAGATGAGACAGCCATGCTCTATTAACAGTGCCATGAAGCTCTTGCCTGAGATGTGTCAGAAACGTCCCTCTGCACTGGGCAGTCATGAACTTCCCTGCCGGGAGAGAGAGAAAGCGAGTGAATGAGCCAGATTGCTCCACGCTGCTCTGCTCCCGGTGCCGGGGCCCTTTGGGCTTGTACCACTCAGGCAGCCAATAACCAAAAGCAATCTCTGACAGAGAGAAAGCGTAAAACCAGACTAGTGTGCAGCAGTAACCTGTAGCACACTCATGTCTGACAGGATGTACACCTGTGTAAAGGTGGTTGTTGGGAAAGGCAACCCCCTCGCTTTTCTCCTGCTCTATAAGCAGGGATTTGCAGGGAGCTGGTTAAAGACTGTGAGAAAAAAGTAGCATGTGCATCCCCCTCCAGTGACAAAGCCCAGAGTTGGGAAGAACTGTTCATATTAGGAAAGAGGAAACTTCTAGAGCACGTAGCAATCAAGAGACTGCTTCTCCTTGCCAAGGAGTGAGAACAACTGGATTATGAAAGCTGCTTGGATCAATTATCTCATATTTTGGATTTACATATCTTATCGTACATTTCGGACCTAATGAAGAAAAGTCCACAGATACATTTTCAGTATTTAAGAAGAATAAATAATACTTAAAATCTGGTCTTCTTACTACAAATATGGGTTATATCTGATCCCTGTCCTGACCCCTTTTCTTGCCTCTTCATTTGAAATACAAGCTTTATTCCTACCATCCACCACAGGTTCAGGTAGCTGCACTGCAGCATTTACCCAAAGCCTGCCCTGGGTAGGAGGCACCCTTGCTGGGAAGGAAGGAGTCCTGCCCTGTAGTCACGCACTCAGAACCTGCAGCTGATTCTGCAGTGAAAAACGCAGGAGCTGCAGCCATCGCCCTTTGCACCGCAGCACCGCAGCGCTGCACAGGGCGCTCCTCTGCAAAGTG